ACAGCACGTTTTGAATGAAAGAGGTTGACAAATGACAGGTCATTATATTTTGCTGGATCCATATCACATGAGCGAATGACGTTTTATAGCGAACAGCGACATTTGAGCGAATCGACATTTTACCGAATAATGGGGGCGCGCGTTAACCCATCCGCCGCGCTGCGCTTTACGCCGCTTCGCGGCCGACAGTTCTTGGCGGCTCATTACAAAAATGTGAACCCACTGGCCCAGCCGAAAACGCCGCTTCGCGGCGTCCGACTATTCGCTAAAGTATCATTCGGTGAAACGTGGGCGTTCGCTAAAACGTCATTCGATCAAGTGAGTGCCTCCCATATGTGCTCAGGCTGGCGCACTGGGAAAGCGGCCAGCTTGGGCTTGCGCCTTTTAACAATCTGTTTCGATTAAAAAATATCGCCCTGTGAGGAGCTTTATCACATCCATATACCTACTGTAAACGACTGAATTTTTCGCGGGGATCTAATTTTCGCGAATTTCGCGAATCGCCTACAATTCGCGAAAAATACAACCCGCGAACAATTCGAGCAATATGTGAACGCTACGGAAGCTACACTCGATTCGCGAAAATTAGAACCCGCGAATAATTTCGAATTTTCAGCCCAAGCAAGCCGTAATTGTGGAATCTTCGTAAATAGTCCTCAAAGAATATTCCCTGAATGTAGCGATGTACCCATGCCACGTTCTGAGGAGGTTGCAAGGATAGCCCTGCATAAATTTGCAACATTTCAAGAAAGTTACAAAAGTTCTTTGGATGTTCTGAGAACGTTCTTAGGATTGTTAGAATATTTAAATGTTAATTGAATGCCCTGGTAATGTTCTATGTCATTCTCAGAAAGTTCTAAGAATGTCCCTTAGAAAACATTCCCCGAATGTAGCGAAAAGTGCCAGCGCCACATTCTGACAACGTTAACATATTCTTACGTAAATTTGCAACGTTCCAAGAATGTTGCCCATGTTCTTTTAAACATTCCTGGAATGTTCTCAGAACGTTCTCGTGCTACGTGGGGAGTTACTAGGAACTTGAGGAGACGATGGACGTTTGAGAATAGGGCCCCCGGACAGAGGGCGACCGCCTGTTGCGCAGACATGACGGGCATTTCACGTTTCTCCCTCTTGCATTTGGCAGCCCGTATGAGCAGCTCGCATTGGAGTACAGGAACTGAAACCAGGCCTGAATAGAGCTCCAAAAACTCTTCAGCGCTGGGAGCTGCCCTGCTTTCCGAGATCTTTGAAGGCAGGTCTCCCAGCTTACTGTGTGATCAGGTTTCTTCTGTGCTTCTTGCGGGAATGTTAGAGCAGTGACGTCGCCTACTTAATTGTTACTCGCGGCATCTTTAATTTCAACTTCTGCTGTTTCGGCCATTTTAATGGCGGCTTAGAATATTGCCTGTTTGTGGGTGGACCTTGCTCTATCTTTCCAGCATATATTGCTGTTTGATTTTTTGTGACAGTATAGCTACTCTTTTGTTTTGTCTGATCAACAGAGATTGGTAATGCAATAGTACCTCAAAAAGTGGAGGCAGTTTTTAAAGTTGGTGGGCCACAACTACGACGACAGTAGAACAGTGAGCCACCACGCCGTATTCCTGAAAATGAAGCCTGCTCCGTGTTGAAAAATGGCAATGCAGCTTTGCGTGAGCGTCCGTACCTCCGAGTTTACCCTGCTACGTCATTGGTGTGGGGGGGGGGGGGGGGGGTAATAATGCCGTTGACCCCCTCCCGGATAAAATCCTGGCTACGCAACTGGCGCCAAATGACGGAGTCTGAGTATCGCATCCGTCCCCCTATTGAACGCCAACTTTTGTAATTAGCGGATAAGCGTTTGTTATTCCGCCTCCAGCGTGCGCTTCCCAACTTTGATGATGCTTTCGTGTCTCGTGAGCCTGAGCCTGCACGCACAGCCAGAGTAGGGCGGAAGGCACCGAGCGCTTGCTGGAGGCAGGGCATTCGAAAGAAACGCCGTTCTCATTCATGTCAGGGACTTTGGGGTTACCACGATAACACTGACCTTGGGTCGAAAACGGGATATATATCATATGCGCTAGCACAGCTGCGATCGCCGCTCAATGTGTGCGAGCGCACAGATCTCTGTTGTCACGTGACTGCGGCCTGATGACGTGCAAAAAAGGCGTCCCCTCCGCCACTGGACGGGCAAATATGGCGGTCTAGTACAGGTCATGCCACGACATATATACCATGTCACCCACGTGCCATGTCCCACTCAACGCACAACGTTGGGGTATCGGGTGATGTTTTTAGTTTTTTTGCCCGATCTCCCCCAAAGGTCATCCTGGTGATACCCGCACCACCTGGTGATAGTTGGGGGGGAGAAAATTGGCTTAGAAGGGCGGGAGGGATCAAATGTTTGTCTTTCTTAGACTTGGGCTAGGGGGTGCAAGCTACCGCCCGCTACAAAAGGTATCGCCATTAACATGAATCCATCCATCCAAGCAGTGGACTCCAAATGGTTTGCCCCGCTTTTTATCCTCCATGTTTCGAACCTGCGGCGATGTGTTGGCGTAAGCAAGCTTCCATAGGCTTGACTTTCATCAAGGAGGCGATGAAAGGATTGCTTATGCGCAGGGGTTGCGGCAGTCTTGGGCAGTAACTAGTTGCTAGTAACGCGTTACCGGTAACTAGTTACTTTTTTCAGTAACTTGTAACTGTAACTCGTTACTGTTTAGGGAAAAGAACTTGTAACTATAACATAGTTACTATTTTTCGAAAGTAACTGTAAAAAGTAACGTCGTTACAGTTACTTCTCAGATTTATGTGAACACGGCCACCAAATCGCTTCGCAACTCGTGAGAGAGTCCCAAGTCCTGGTGCGGTAAGGGCACAGCAAAAACTGCTGCACAAAACTTCTGGAGCAGGAGTGAAAAAAATAAAAATATAAAGGAACTAAAGTTTCGGTGACCCTGCATGGCCAAGCTAGTCCCGCCAACTGGAAGGATGGGGACGTTTTTGTCCGTACCAGCCATGTATGCACACAGCGCACGCAGATATTTTACAAAACGCGGCATCTTTAAAGCGTTTTTCTTTTCTTCGTCCCGCAGAGGAAGCGAGGGCTTTTTGCAGAAAACAGTTTTTGATGATTGTCGCCCCAAACGCCCGCAGGCTTACGGGCGTCTTCTTGCTGCCAAGTATACGTTTCCTTCCCCTCCAATTTGAATCGTCCAACTCCCAGATGCACTCTTGTAGGGTCTCGACTTCAGGCCTATTTTCTCTCCCTCCCTTCCTTTTTTTTTTTCCACCCCATTACCGGCTTTGCCTCCCGTCACCCTCTTGTCCCTTCTCGGGTCCCGTCACTTGAGAAAGAGTGTTTGCTCGAACCGTCTGTGTCGTTCTGGTTGTTTGCGTGTTTTCTTGAAATTGAAAGACCGCACTTAGCGGAAACCAGAGGCACTCGTCATCACTTGATTTGTGGATATTCACGTCGTGGGCTTTCCGGGAGATCTCTTCTATTTTGGGTGGTGAGATGGAGGAGCACAAACGTGCTCGATCTAGTTTAGGAAGTGGCGGAGAAAAGATCGCAACAGCTGTTCGGAATTCCACACGCAGTGGCCGTTGCACCTCGATCAGTGCTTATTTTGACGAAGGAATGCCGCGGCAGCATCGCTCTCCAAGTTTTAAGGGACGTCGTGTTTCATGAAAGATTGTGCGCACACAGTAGAAATCGATTTGA